ATTAAAATGTATTGATAACTGATAGCATGGCTTATTGAAATGTTATATCTTTAATGAATGAAGTTCTGTCTTGAAACGATATTGTGGCATCCATTAAATGTAGACTCTTGCCTGGGGGTAACAATACCATGGCTAGGCCCTTGCCTAGGGATAATAATACCATGGCTAGGCCCTTGATTGGGGGTAACAATACCATGGCTAGGCCCTCGCCTGGGGTAACAATACCATGGCTAGGCCCTTGTCTGGGGGTAATAATACCATGGCTAGGCCCTTGCTTGGGGGTAACAATACCATGGCTAGTATGGTCCGTTATCATTGGAATATTATTGTTTCGTGGATATGCCACATATAATGTTACGAATGGCTTTTGTTACTGTAAAGAGATGCTATGATTGCTAATCGAAATGTTCTGCCTTTTATAATGGATTACTTAGAAAAATGAAAGGTATGTTTCGATTTGGGATTCGACATGGAAAATGTTTCGTTGTGAATTTTATTTAATGTGGCAAATGCCTCCATTTGAAATGATTTAAGATTCGTTTCGAAATTGTAAGGCATGTTTTTGTACTATCGTCGAGCTTCATTCATTTAACCTCTTTATTCTGTTATTACTCATTGGGCTCTAGCTGACTATTTGTTTATATATGTATATGTAGGTGGGCAAGCTGAGCATCAGAATTAGAAGCCTCGAGTCCACCTGAGTTAGCCCTTTTGAGGAAGCTTCCAAGTGAAGTGATCAGGCTTAGGGAGCCATGTTAGAGAACCCCCTTTTTGTGTATTTTAAAGTTCTTTTTGTATATGTGTATAATTGGAGTTGTATACTTATAAGACATGAATTTGTGCTTATGATGGATGTATCTTTGAAACAGAACTTTGCTTAACATATTTGTTCTCATCACATATGAACAACTTAATGGATAAATTCTATGTCATATTGGACTTCCGCTATGCCTCGTACTTTATAATTAAAGGTTCTTTTTTATGGAGGCAGTAGGTAATCTATGATTACTTGCCGGTCATGACGTTAAATTTATAGAGGTGGGTTTGGGTTTTGACAGAGTGGTATCAGAGCACGAGTTATATCTCACTCACTTGTCCATTAAGCTACAGAGAGTCTAGAAGATACTTCAGGATTGCATGCATGTGCAATTGAATTTTAGAGTGAGATAAATTGTATGATTACATGTTTTGAATTTGTACATGTGGACATATTTTATTTGTTGTGTTTATTATAATACAAGTCTTATATAGGAAATGGTGAGGATAAGGGGTGATGAGCTGGAGGAGGCATCCTCTTCAAGGCTGGACAGACTGGAACGAATGATGCACGACATGGCTGAGGCCATAAGACAACAATAGCAATGGCAGCGACAACAACAACTACCACACCCACCTCCAATGCCTGTGCCACCTCCAGCTCCAGGGTGTCAGCCGAAGACTTGTACTGTTGCTTTGACTAGAGAGTTTAAAAAGATGAAGCCACTAGTGTTCCATGGTGGAATTGAACCACTAAAGGTCGAAGCTTGGGTCTTAGGGATTGAAAAATTGTTTGAGGTATTCCCGTGTACCGAAGCTCAGAAAGTACAGCTAGCTACATTCACCCTAGAAGATGATGCCAGACGTTGGTGGATGTTGGTTCGAGATGATAATAAGGATGTTACGTAGGCTCATTTTCTGGAAGGGTTGTTTATATCCCATAAGTTTGGATGGTTTTTTATTACGGTTGATTTTGCCGTTTATAATTGTGACATGTCTGGATTGAGTTTTGGTTATTTATTATTAGACTATTGTTCAGTTGTTTGATGTGATTGGATTCGTGTTTAGGCTTACGTGTGCCTTGGGCTAAGTCCCTGTGGGCCACGGCCGGTCATGCCCGGATTTGGGGTGTGACATGTCTTAGTGCCAATATGTGAAGAAAACACACTTTTAAGCTCAATATAGCACAATATAGAGAGAGAAAGAGAGAGAGAGAGAGAGAGAGAGAGAGAGAGATAGAGAGATTTCAGCTCTGAGATTTGTGAACCTCTCTAAAGGGGGAGGGACCTCCCCTTATATAGAGGAAGCAAGCAAAAGCTTGCTTGACAAGCTAAAAGCTTGTTTCTATCCCTCCATACACGTGTATGGATGATGAGTTTCAGTAGGCCACAGCTAGCTCAAAAGATCATAAAATATCTAAAAATGAGAAAAATTGGCTGCAGGCCAGTTAAGGTGGCTGGCCTGCCACCAATCCTAGCCGACCGACCACTCCAAGTGCCCTACAAGAGAGAAAAGTGGCCATCATATGCAAAAAGTGGCCGGCAAGCCCTTTCCCTCCCTCAGGCAAGAGGGATCAAGGTTTGGCCCAAAAACCAAGGCCAAAACACAAAGCGTTAAGAGGCTCAAAGACACGACACTCAGTCGAGACCCTTGGGTGCCCAAAACAAGCATAAACATGCGCAATCATCGAGTGCACAACTGATGACGTCAAAGCCTTGAGGTCAGTAAAAAATGGGGTGTCTACAGCAGAGTTGAATTATACTTGCATATAATAGAGTTGAACTAAGTTGGCGATGTTTCTGAATGAAACATGACGAGTAACTTTGACTTATTATATGGTGGAGTTGAATTATACTTGCATATAATAGAGTTGAACTAAGTTGAATTCACCTAGACTTGCCATGTCGGTAGAGTTAAAACTCAGAATGGAACTAAGTTTGCTTTAGAGAAGCCAATGTGGAACACCTCGGCTAGTCTTTGTTTGAATCAGACTTCGGCGAAATTGAAGATGCATGCTTAATGTGAACATAAGTGACACTTAAGTTCACATTAGGGGGTAGGAAGCAGGAATAAGGAATAGGCTTGACACTTATTGAAATTTTTGAAAAAATTTACAAGTTGGAGTCAGCTGAGGTATCCAGATGAGGAGACACTCGAGTTGTTGGTTACCTGAGATCACCAACCAGGTCGTCAAACCTGGAAATGTTGGAAGGGCGAGGTCTAGATGAAAGACAACAAGTACAAGTAAGGAAGCAATACTTGTTGAATGTTATTCAAAGAATTTTTATAAAGTACTCGTTGGCTGATATCACAATAAAAGGTGAACTCCGAGGTAAATTGGTCCGAGAAGACGAACTAATGGTGCACCCAAGATGAAATGGTTTTGCCGGAATTAGAAAAATATGGCAAAAAGTTATGATTTTGAGTCCTAACGTGCCTGTGCTGACGTCAGACGACAGGGGGCAGAACTAATGCAACATGATCGGGATGTGATTGGTACACTCCAATCTTATGATGATCTTGATTGAGAAGTGCAATCTCAATTGAGATATTGATCTCAGTAGAGATGATGACCTCAGTTGAGATATTGATCTTGGTAGAGATGACGATCTCGGTTGAGATGGTGATCTTGGTTAACATGATGATTTCAGTTGAGATGTTGATCTTGGTTGAGATGTTGAATTTGAGTGGGGGGAGAACTTGTTTATTCTTGGTTTCTGATGAGTTGATACTAGGATCTTGATGTTGTTGAACTAGCAAGTCATGATCTTTGCTAGCAGTGCGATCTTTGTCAAGATGCTGGACCTAGATGAAATGGAATAAGATGGTTCATGGTTCTTGGTTCTTGATTCTTGACGAGTAGACATTTGAGTCATTGTTTCTTGGTGCCAACGAGTCACGATCTCGGTCGGGGAAGTACATGTATAGGTTCCATCACCTCAGTTTGCTGAGGTAATAGAACCTAGGGGGCAGTTGTGGGGACATATTTTTAGGTAATCCACGTGACCAAGGTTGTTAGCCGAGGTGCCACGTGGGCGGACCATGGTGCCGAGATATGGTGCGATAATACTGGAATTCGAGATATCTGGATAGAGGACTAGAGTCTTGGATGGCATCAAGCTACCTATTTAGATAGAGATGGGACTCTTGAGGGAGTTCATCTTAATCTGAATAGTGTGAGTTGTGATAACTGTTATCCTTGTAAAGGATAAAATCCCATGAAGTAAGACTTCTATGGGAAGTTGGACACTGATCATTATAAAAGTAAGGCACCCTCATGGGTTTGAGGTATGTCTTTTATGCTCTGTCTAATGAGTTAAGCACTTTTCCTATCTTTGAGAGATAACTGACTTGATCGTCGGAGTGCCCCCGGGTGGACGAACCACCGCCGGAATCTCTTCTTGCTGTGACAGGTCGTTCGGGCTTAATCTATTCTGCCGGTGCTTTCCAGCTAGGTACTAATTTGGCTGTGTGGTTAGAAATCGACTCACACAGTAATAAACATTTTATTCTTATATTTTGTAATTATAATAAATAACTAAACATAGAACTAATGTTATTATTCATCTCATCAACAACGATAATGTGGCTCGATAAAATGCATGGAGTAGAGAAGGGAACATGTGAAGGGGTTGAGGATTTCTATTCATTCAGTTGCTTTAGTGTTTGAACAAAATTTGTAATTTGTTCTAAACTGGGTTATTTTTGTGTTTTGCATGTTTTTGGATTACTGTGCTATAGGTCTAAGCTTTCTTGCAAAGCTATTTAATCTATTTGTGAATTAAAGTGTTGGTTGATTATTTTTGCAGAGTACAGAAAAACATCCAGCCAAGAGATCAGTTGAAAACAACTCTGATGATAAAGCAGGAGGTGACAGAACTTCACCTAATGCAGGAGAAGATCATACCAGGGATGTCAAAAGACAAAAGAAACTGAAGTATGGATTGTTTGATATGGCTGTGAAAATTAATGGTTGTACTCAACCAAATGTAGCAGTTTCAAAATTGGAATCAAAATTTGAAAATCTCTCTGGTGCGAAGGCACCTACAATTTCAGATTTATGCGATGCAAATAGAAGTATTTGTGCCTTTTGCTAGTGCTTTGGGCTTACTGATGTGAGTTTCCACTTCTGGATGCCCTTGTCTCTACATTTCCTTTGTGACAATAGATATTGCTGTGAACATTGTTTTTCCTTTTTTTTTTTAAAAAAAAAAAAATATTGTGAAAAATAGGCGGGTGGTTTTTCATTCAGAGCATTTGTTAGGATCCCCACATACCACTCCTTGAACATCCAGGATAGTTGTGCTCTGATCAATATGCTTTTTCGCTGCAATTGAACAGGCTGGGAACTTGACATTGAAGGTCCTCTCAAACTCCTGCACATGGTATTTCAAGTAGCGGTCCAATGTTGTGGCTTGCAGAAGCTTATTTGGATCAACTTTGCCAAGTCTTTCAATATAAACAGGTCGTCCATCCTTATCAATCCCATGATGTCCCTGTGGATAGTGTTCGAGGACCTTCTCTCTTTCCTTGAACTCAAAATCCTGAACAAAGAAATGAAGAGACAAAAATAAGAGACAACTGCCCATATGTTCGGCTATACGGACGCATTCCAAACCAAAATACCTCCACAATTGTGTCAGCACCGAAATTATTTCTCCACTGGAGCATATCAGCCCACATTTGCTTTGTTTTCTCGATATCAAATTTCCTGGCCTTCAAAAATCTGGTCACCATACAACAAGTTGACAATCTAATTATTGATCCTGAGTCATGCCAAGATCAGTTGGAGAGCAAAAAATTAACCAAAGGCATAAAGCTATGCTATCTTCACAAAGACATCCCCAAAATTTCGAGATTGCGTTACACAGTGAATGCTATTCATATAAGAATATTCTGCTTTCATTTTGTCATGAGAAATATTACTGTCATTCTAATAATGTCTCCAATATTTCCACTATACACATGCATGAAGAGCATCAAAACAGTGTCTTTCTTTAAAATTCAGAAACCATTTTATACAATATTGAGTGCTACACCGGTGAGGTCAGCCACTAAAAGTGTTAAAAAAAGGTTATGCACAAGCACTATTTTTTGAAAGGGAAGCAAATAAACCAAAAGGCTAAATTTTAATGCATCAAAAGTGTTGAAATGAAACTCCCTGTTCAAATTTAACAACAAATCAAGCATAAAAGAACCTGGTATTGATGCCAATATATTTTAGTTTATATATGGCTTGAATTTTTTTGCTTTTAGAAAATGAGATCTCACAAGAGGAAGGAAAGCTATTAGCATTCTGTTACCCCAATCAAAACTAAAACCCAAACACGAGCTAGCAACAATTCACTATCATGTATTACTGCTATCATGTCATTCCGCCATCTTGCAGAGCAAGTGGCACCGCCTCCCACAGTTGAAACTTATTCAAATTTAGTAAAACTAAAAGCTTATCCCCAATGTTTCTTACAACACAATTTACCATTATAAAGTTATAAACATGAAATAACTGCACATGCAATACCAAATCATTGACGATGGAACAAGGAGAAGGAAGAAACCTTAGCATCATGTGATAATCATCGTGTTTTGCAGGTAGAAATTCTTCCAAGATAAGAGTTTGACGTAATGCATCCACTGCCTGTAGTTCCTCTGCATCATGCTCATCTTCAAATGAAACAGACATAACTCTACTATTTCTCCTACACTTTCTGTTCAAAGAATGCCTCAACTTGGTTGAGGCATTAATCGCCTTCTTCTTGAAAGACCCAATCCTTGTCTTCCTCTCATCCTCCAAGTTTTCAATGTCAGATTTTTCGAGACCTGTGGACAAATCGTGTAGAAAAGAGGAAACTCATAACACACAATAGTAAATAACCGAAATGAAAAAATTCTAGTTGTCAATGCTATTTCTTCATATGTCCGAAGTAAAACCTAAATATATGCACTATTCTTAGAAAATAGAACTTTTTAGCAATCAAGACAGTCTCAACCAGAAGGCTCAACTAAACCAACCAATTAAAAAGTCAATCATGGAAATCAACAATATGTTTTGATTTTCTACAGCACAACATTTTCAAGGCTATGTTTTAATGTTTACTTCGTCATATATTCTATAATCTATTGCTTTTCTTGGACATAAGAGTATGAAAGGCATTTTAAAATGATGGATTCATTGATCACATCACAGGTTTCTTTCATCAGACTTTTTAAACTGTTCTTCTGTTCTTTGTACTGGGGCATGATTAATGACCGGGTGTCTATTTTCACAATCAGAGTAAATAGGAAATGCATATCTTATGGCAACACACCTTATGCATGAGCCATTTGGTATATTTATTTGATTCTTCCAATTAAAATTATTTTACTGAAGAATTAAGAAGCACAGACACTTCAAGAAGGTGGCACGTCCGTGTCCAACACATGTCGGACACTTCTGACTTGTGTCAGACACATCAAGTGCTATTATCTTTTAGAAAAAAAATTATCTCGGACACTTATGGGACACACATATCCAATGCTTAGATACATATGATATGAAACATATTACAAATTTGAACAAATTTCTTAGGATCTAATAATAAACAAGAATGATATGGATTTATACATATTAATCCATCCTAATTTAAACTTCAGAAATTCGTGTTATATTATATATTTTTATAAACTTTTGAAATATTTTTCATATATATATAACATACAATAAATATAAACCACATATTTTGTATATGTCCCTCTCACGTGTCCTACATCTTTTAAAAATTGTCATTTGAATGTGTCTATGTCGTGTCATGTGTCTGTTTATGTGTTTAGGAAAAAACTATTGAAATACAGTCTTCTTAATTGTAATTATGGTGCTTTAATCACAGTTAAATAGCAGTAATTAAGCATACGCAAAGAGATCCAATAAATCTCATTTAAAGTTGAAAGTCTTGAAAAGATTAAAGCGCGCGCACACACACGCACATATATATATATATATATATACAGAAAGAAAAATAAAAAAAATTATCATAGAAAGTACCTGGCTTAATAGGTTGCTGGAGAGGTCCAGACATGTTGTCACTCATGGTTGTAATTCACAAAGTTTGCTCACGCGAGGCAGCAAAAGTGCAGATGGATTAAGTAGCCATACCGAGATGCCAAGCATACGCCCGTGCCAAATGCCTACACTTTTGACCAATTAAAAAAAAAAAAGCAATGGATGTATTCAAGCAAATCAATTCACAACGTTCATGCCAATAACAATTGAGCTTCAAAACCCAAACCCCATCAAACTATGCAAATGAGCTACTCTTAAATAATGATTACCATCCAAATTAAAGGAACAAAAAGCAAAAATTTGATCATAGTAATATCTCCAACTCCAGGTTGAATACTCTTTTCCTATTTTGTGCATTCATATGTAAATCCCTTTTAAAAAATAAACCTGAATTTCAAAAACCAAAATCCAAAAAAAAAAAAAAAAAAAATCTACCACCACCAACAATAAATTTGAGAAAGGAGCAACAGATAAAAATTCAGATTGTAACAAGTTAAACATCATTGTGGATAACAAAACAAAACAATTACAGTGCAAATCAAAATTATTCAACAACTGTAAGCAATGACAAAAAAATAAATAAATAAATTTACCGGAATGAATGATAATATGGTTTCCTGAAAGCCCCAGAGAGAGAGATTTATATCACCGAATTATACTCTAAATTTATACAGCCTCACTTGGATACAGTGGGAACTGAAAACAATTTCACCCGCCCTTTTTGGGAAATGAGTTGTAATCCATCTCACAAAAAAGCTGGTTGTAAGCAATTTTTAACTAAAAAACTGATTATAACTATCTTTCTAAAATAGTCTATAGAGAGATGAGAGAGAAAAAATATATATATATATATATATATATTTATCGATATATATCTATATTATAAAGCAAAACGATTTTTAAAAATATATAAAATATAACAGACATACATTTCGTTTTAGAAGAATCCTAAATTTATATTAATGGTTGAGATGAATGATAGTTGCCGCCCAAACATTTCTCTCCTCCGCTTCCCACGTCTCCCCACCTTTCCTCTCTATCTCTCTCTCCTCTCTGTTCTCAACCACGTCTCTTCCCCATTCCCTCTTTATCTCTCTCTCCCTGTCTGTTCTTCTTCTTTCCTACCCTCCCTCTTCGCTCGCTTCCGACGCTGCTCTCCAGTCCTGGACTCTCACTCGATTTCTGCCTCTCCCCCTTCTCCCCTTCTCTCTCTGTCGGGCTGTGTCTGGTTTCGCTGCTCTCGATCTCGGCTCGCAAGGTAAGTCTTTTTCCCGCTTCAGTGTTGTGTTTTGGCATGTTGATTCAAACAGGTTATTTCAGGGTTTTGGTAACTCCCACAGCTTCTGTGAACAGCTTAAATTAAAGGCTTCGCAGTTTGATTTGGTGCAATTTGTAATGGAAAATTGTGATTTTGATTTGTTGTGTTTTGGTAGGTTGATTCAAACAGGTTATTTTAGGGTTTTGGTAACTCCCACAGCTTCTGTGAACAGCTTAAATTAAAGGCTTCGCAGTTTGATTTGGTGCAATTTGTAATGGAAAATTGTGATTTTGATTTGTTGTGTTTTGGTAGGTTGATTCAAACAGGTTATTGTAGGGTATTGGTAACTCCCACAGCTTTGTGAACAGGTTAAATAGAATTTTTTTGACAGATCTTTTCTGAAAAGTATAATTAACTTTGTGGTTCATGGTTTTTAAGCATTGTTTGGTGGTTGCAATTCGATTAAAGACATCGCAATTTGATTTGGCGGTTACAATTGTGATTTTGATTTTAAGTGGTTATTTTATTTTAGTTCCTATGTTGCCTAATGCCTAATTAGAACTATGACAGAAATGCAATTTGATTAAAGGCATGGCAGTTTGAATTTGAATTGTTGCCTGTCCGATCATGTTATATGATTATTGGGTTGAAATTAAAAATCTGGATGTTTGATTAAATAGATGGCAGTTTGAATTTGAATTGTTTATTTTGATTTTAGTACTGGTGATTATTGGGTTGAAATTAAAAATCTGGATGTTTGATTAAATAGATTGGGATAAATAGTAGGCTCCTTTTGTTTTTGATTAAATAGAATGATCATTTTCTTGTTCTGTCACAAGTTTCTAAAGAGTAGAATAACATTTGTGGTTCATGGTTTTTCAACATTGTTTGGTGGTTGCCTAATTAGAACTATGGCATAAATTGCAAAGATATTGTGAAATTGCAATTCAATTAAAGCCATTGCAGTTTCTTCCTTAACCTTTTGGTATGATGATGTTCAAATTAGGAGCCTTTATATTTTTGAGTTTGTTTCATGGTGGATCACCAAAGCTCAATAATGGTTGTTTGCCTATGCCATTTTCTTGATATAGAAACAGGGATTTTAAAAACAAAATTTAAAAATCTAGATGTTTGGGGTAAATAATAGGTTGGTTTTGTTTTTGATTAAATATAATGATCATTTTTTTGTTCTGTCACAGGTTTCTAATTTGATAGATCCTTTCTGAAGAGTAGAATAAAATTTGTATGCCCGTCCCTAAAGGCTGATTTCAAGGTTTTTTTTTTTTTTTTTTAATGTAGGGGGCTTTGATTTACTTTTACTGAACAATTGAAGGTATTTTTTTAATCTGTCTATACATATGTGTGAATTCATCTGGGTTTGATTGATTTATGTTATGATGATTGAATTTATAAAAATTGTTCTATTTGAATGAAGATTGTGGTGCTTTAGCTTCAGTATGCTTTCTGGGTATTTACTGAAATGAGTTGAATCTGTGACTGATTGTTTGTTTTTCAAAGTTTTTTTTTTTATTTTATATTATGTTGTTAATTGCTGATGAACTTTATTAATTTTGTTGGGAGGGAAAAGCTTCCCATTGTACTCCAAATGTTTGGTAGCTTTCTTTGTAGCATCTTCATTCAATGGTTGTGAATTTTCAATGGTATTTTCCATTGTTTGTTCAATTATAATTCTGATAAAACTGGTTTGTCTATGATATAATGATAGAATGCTTGCAATATCTAGCTTAGACATTTTTTCGCTTCTTTTCTTTTTTTCATTACCAAGATGAGTTGAATGCCTATACATTTTACCTGTACCAACAGTATAAGAATAGTTGTATCAGGCCTTATTTTCATGAATGCACAAACAGAATGAGTCCCAAAGAGTGAACCACCATCTTCTTAAGCAAGATTGTGTTTGGCTTTTAGTTCTCAAATTCATTAAAGTCATCATAACTGTATCTTTCTAACTCAAGGAATGTTTTTTCATCTGTTTTTTAGTTCTTTCTTTCTTTCATCTGTTCATTTTGTTTTTTGGGGGATCAACTTTGCCTTTTTGTTATTGTTTTATTGGGTGTTTTTAGATTTTATATTGTGTTCTCTCCTCTGTTATTGGGTTTGGTCCCAAAATTGTTTACTGTGAGGGAAAGGTAGGAATCTTTTTTATTGGCTCATCACTTCATGAATGCTCAAACAAAATGAGTTCCCAACGGGTGAACCACCATTTTCAAATTTATGAATGCTCAAATTTGTTGTTTTCTCACTCAAGAAATGTTCAAGGAAAGCTTCGAGTAAAATTCTTCAATATTTTGAAACAGACCACAGCTGAGCTGTGGCATATATTCTTGCTACTTGAAGACAACCTTGAATATTTTGAAATATAAACTTGGCACGCAGACCTGGCCATAGAGCAAGGAGGAATCGGATGGAAAATGAACATGTTCACTTGACAATGAAGAAATCTATGGCAGGTCCGCATTTGAATAGGAGAAATATGAGATTTGTTGTGCTACATCAAATGTAAATTATAGTATTTCTGGTGCATGTATGGTGGTGAAAATCCATTGGAAAAGGAGATTGTAAACTTAAAGACCAGGGAAAGCTTCGAGTAACTCAATTAGAGACCAATTAAAATTTGTTATTGAAAATTGAAACAGATAGTTCAGGGAAAGCTACTGAAGATTAAAGTTGGTTTTGTTGGTTGTTGTTTATGTTGGTTGTTGATTTACTTGATAGTTAGTTGATTTACTTGATAGTTAGTTGATTTACTTGACAGTTTTTGTTCTTTTTTTTTTTTTTTTTTGGCATTATTTTTTTTTTGGATTTT